AGCTTCTTGTTGCTCGCCGTCTTCTTGAACTGACCATCGGACTTGGACGTGTCGTACTATCGATGCAACAAGTTAACACGCCTGCGAGAGCGTGGACGAACACCACCGGCCGGGTGTGACTGCAGTACCTTGATCCTGTCCAGCGGGTAGCCCATGGCCTCGGCGATCATGTCGGCCACCTCCTTGATAGAGATCTCGTCGTTTTCGTCCACGGAGAGGATGATCGGGTCCACCTCGTTGTAGTCGCGCACGGCCCTGTTCACGTGCAGACATTAATGTATCGAACAACCAAAACAGTGCGAATAGCGAATGAGCTCAATAGATGGTGCGAGAGAATCAAGAGCGAGAGAACGAACCAGATCATGAGGCGGGCCAGATCGAGAGCGAAGATAAATTGCCTAAGCGGCTTGCCCGTGCCCCACACCACAAAGTCGGTGTTGTTCTCTGCGACGCCACAGTGACACACACGTGTTCCATGAGTGTCAGGATTCATCATCATCATCATCATCATCATCATCATATCATCGCAATAATTGAGCCAGAGGGCAGCTGCGTACTGTTGGCCAAGTAGAGCTTGTGCATGAGGCCAGGCATCACGTGCGAATCCTGGAGGACCAAACGAAACGCAACCATTAAGCGAGTTGAGTCTCAACACGCGTGTAAGCAACAAAGCCTATGGTGCGTACCTCGAGGTTGAAGTTGTCCCACTTGCCGAAGATGTTGGTGGGAACGACCGACGTGAAGTTGCAGCCGTACTCTTCGTGGTAGGCCCTGTGCGTGGAGCGCAAGGTGGTGCTCGGTGTGAGCGCAAGGCCGCCAGAGCCAGTGTAAAAATGAAAGAATGAATGAAAGAAAGCTGTACCTGTTCTGAACGTCGATCATGCGCTTGGCGTAGGCGTAGCCCTCGTTGGAGGGGTGAGGGGGTCCGTTGTGGATCATGGTCTCGTCGATGGGGTAGGTCGTCTTGTCGGGGAAGATGCAGGTGGAGAGGCACGACACGCACTTCTCGATCTGCACGTCGCCCACCCATCACGCACGAGTGCGAGTGAGCTCTGAGAAATGAACGACACGCCACGCAACACGAGGGCACGCGCGTATGCGGA